CCAGCAGCTCTTCAGCTCCCTTGGCTATAAGGAAATGATGGGAGGTCACCCATGCAAAATGAGGGGAATAAAAATCATCTCTCCTCTCCTCCATCCTGTCTCCCCACCGCCATCAGAGGAGTTACCCTTTCCCCTCTTGGGGCCCTTTGCCCTCTGAGGGGCTTTTGTGCCTTTGGAGGTCTGGGATGCGGCCGAGCCTCTCCAGAGGGAATAAACGCCCAGAACTGGCCGAGTGTCAGGAATTCCTGCCGTCTACTGGAAACATCCGCCCCATGCCCACCCCGGCTCTGCAGTGAGAGCCAGCTCTGAACACCTCAGAGGGGAAGAGATCAGGAGGAGAGCTTGTGTGCCCTGTCTCTGCCATGCCTGTGGTTTTGGAGGTGGCGATGATCCCACCCTGCTCTCTGTGGGGCTGCCCTGCAGATGAGTCCCTTTGGGAGCATCCCCAGATCCAGGGCTGTGCCACTCATCTTCAAAACCTGGGTGCAAAGAGCAGTATGACCAAGTGACCTTCTCCGATATTGGATGGCACCGGGGACATTCCCACAAAGACCCATGGCCAGTCTGCTGGGAAAGGCAGCCCATCCCTCCAGATGCCAGAGCACGGCTCAGGTTTAATTAGCACTTTTAATGCTTGGAAAGAAGGCGTGAGGGAATACCCAGTGGGTTAGATATGTTTTCCTCACTAGTGATCCGGGCTGGTGACAGGGAAGCTCCCCAGCTCCAGCTTGCTCAGATGGGATGGGGTGGCATTGCCCTGGGGGCTAAAACATGGCAAATATCTTTGGCGAGTCCCAGTTGGACCCCTCAGAGCAGGAGCACCACCGCTGAAGGGAGTTTCTGCATAAAACCCAAACAGTCAGCACGCTCTGCCAGTGTGGGATGCAGCTTGAGAGGTGCCCGACCCAACATTAGCTCAGTTGAGCTGTTTGTCCTTGTCCCCTCTCTGCCTTTGGGGAACAAGATGCATTTTTAGGCCAGGTCTGGTCATGTCTGCTAAATCAAGGACGACTTCTTGCTTGAGTACATGGCACTGATGTTGCTGTGTGGATAAAATCAGTCCCACTCAGGATCTAGCCGCTGCAGCCGACCAGAGGAGATGACAGTAGAAGTCCTACAAAGGACTGGGATGGCAAAACTTGCCCAGGGAGGGACTCATCCCCTCAGTTTACCTTGGCTGGCCATGGTGTGCTGGGGACATGATGCCGTTTCCCAGCACAAGGTTCCCTGGATGAGTCAGAGGAGAAAAGCGCCGGCTCTGCCCATTGCTCACATCTCCCATCACCATCCCATTGCAGCGGTGCTCTCAGCTCCCAGCACCGTGGTGCTGAGTTCCCTTGTGCACTGCTGCAGCTGGCGTGGCTTCTGCATCTTGGGGACAGGGTCTCCAGCACTGGCAAAGCCCTGCACCCAGGGCTTGTAATGCCACAGCTGTGGAGGACACTGAGCTTCCAAGTGTGGGTGCTGCAGTGAAATAAATACCTGATATGAGCAGTGGAGGGTCTTCACCTCGTGAGCTTGGGCCAGAAAGTGTTTGACTTTCACAGGGAACTTTTGGCCAGCCTGCCCAGGGCTGGACCTTGAGGAGCCCATACCTGGAATGTGGCTCGTGGGCTTGAGGAAGTGTTTTCCCAAGATCTGCCGACTGCAGGGCTTGCAAACTACCACCCCAGGGCTTTGTAGCACTAACCAAACGGCAATGCAATGCAGCGGGACAGCCACCGAGGCCTCTCTGCAGGTCTCTGATGCTGGCCTCCCACTGAAGTGTGGTGAGGCAATGCAAGATGACAGACCTTGCCTTCTCCTCCGTGGCACCTCCATCAATGTCCCTTCCTCGGGCAGCCTGGCCTGCCCTCCAGAGCAATGTGGGGACTCCCAGCTCCCCACGGTGCCCACGTGAGACCCAGCCCTGTGGAGACACGGGGTGTCACCCGCAGCTCCTGAAGCCAACAGTGTGTGCCCACCATCAGGGCCCCCCACCCCCCCGAAGACCCCTGCTTGCCCCCAGCCCTCTGAAATGGCCACAGTCCCAAGCAGAAGGGATCGGGGAAGCCACAACCCCTGGTGTGCCTGCTCCTTTTTGTGTGCGAGCGGGTGGGTGGGAGGGAAACTGGCTGCATCCCGCTCCCCCGGCACGCAGCGCAGGGGGCCACGGCCGTGTGCCGGGAGAGGCCGGAGGCGGTGAAGGTGGCGATGGCGCGGGGGCAGCCTGGGCTCTCCGGCCGCGGCACCTTTAGCCAGGCCTGGCACCGCTCTGCGTCCTGTCCCCATCACCGCGCCAGGGCCAGGGCCAGGCGGGGAGGCACCCGGGGCAGCCCTGGCATCCCTGTGCCACCACGCCACGACCCTCGCTCGCCTTCCCTCCCCTCTGCGAAGCTGTCTGCCAAATGCCAACTCCCTGCTTTCCAGTTCCTCCAGATTTACCCCCTCCTCTATTTTTTTATTTTTCTTTTTACCCCCCCCTTTCCCGCCCCCCCCCCCCCCCCCCTTCCTTCCTTTCTTCTTCCTGGGTTAAAAATAATCAAGTTTCTGGGAAGCAGCAACTCCTGCTGCGCCTGCCTCCCTGCACTCGAGCCCCGGAGAATAGCTCAGCTCTCGGCTCTGCGCTCCGGCCCCTCCTCGCTGCTCTCTCCTTCCTCCTCCCCACCCCCTACAGGGATCTGACTAATATGCTTGGGCTCTGCTTGCCAGCTCAGCTGGAAAGGAATTTAACCATTGCCTGGCCTGGAGGGAAGGAGCCCGGACCTCCCCCGGAGAGGAGCGACCCTTCCTCCATCACCCTGGAGCTCTGGGCTGGGTCCCTGCCTGGCCACGCTCCCCTGGGTGCTGGCTGGAGGGTGCTGGAAGAGGAGGACGGATGGATGGTCCCAGCACCCCATGGCAAGTGGCAGTCCCAGCCCCGAGCCCCACACGGATGCAATAACCCTCATGGACTCCCTCGGAGGTGTCCTGCCTTCCCACAGGCCAAGCAAAGCAAAATGCAGGACCACAGGTGCCATGATCCCTGTGGCTTGGCTCGTGGGAGCTCCTCATCCAGCCACGGGTGCTCCCTGGGCACCCGCACCCCCAGCCTGTAACTCGCCACAGGCCTCAGCGCAGGGCCAGGGTGGGAGCTGGGGTGGCACACGATGCTGTTCAGGGGTTGCAGTGGGACCAGCAGCTCCAGCCCCACGGCCCCGAGGTCTGTGGTGGGGGAAGAGCCCCAAGCACAGGGAGCCACGGCTCAGCCCTGCTGCAGTGCAGCTCTGGCAGGAGCCAGCAGCCCTCTGCCTAGTGCAGGGACTCAGCCTCTCCATCAACGCAGTGGGTAGGGAGTGGTGAGCAAAAGCAGTGTCACACCTGGGTAAAAGCCATGTGGAGAGAAAGCTCCTCCATCCCCTGAGGCTAAACCCCGGTGCTAAAAAAGCCCGTGATTGTGCATACCCCCTCTGCTCTCCCCCCTTTGCCAGCCAGGCTCTGAGCAGAAGCAGATTTAGCAGCACAGAAGAAGCGGGAGCCGTGGCTCTGCTTTCCAGCAGAACAAGCAAAGCACAAAGCCTTGACCAAGGTGATCCCAGAAAGTCTGTAGCAGAGGTAAGAGTTGACACCCCCCCCACACACCTCCCCAGAGCTCCAGCTTGCTGGCGTACGGCAGCTTCTCCCTGCTCCGCCAGAAACTCCGCTTGAAATCTCCTGGCCATTGCAGAAGGACTTCAAAGCCAGAAATCCGAAGCCCAGCACCCCAGCGCTGAGCCGAGCCAGGAGGCACCGGCTCGGCCGCCGCTAACCCCCCGCGCTGGCTGGCTCAGCCCGGCTGCTCCAGTGCCAGGGCACAAACTGTCCCGGAGGAGGACGCTGCCTTTCCCGGAGCCCACTGCCGGGCGAGCTGTAAGCATGGCCCCTCTGGACGTGGGGCTGTGGAGGAGGAAAGGGCACCGGGCACAAAGCAGGGACCCAGTGAGCGCAGGAAAGCTGCGGCCAGAGGATGACCCTTTAGCTGCTGGGATGCTCTGTAGAGTGGGGTCCAGCATACGCCAGGGGAGGGGGGTTGTGCTGGCAAGAAGGACCCTGAAAGAGGAAGATGTCTTCTCTCCAAATCCTCCCTTAAATGGCAGTGCTGCTGTAAAAGAGGGTAGGATGGAGCTCAGTGTTTGTTTTCTCTGCAGGACCTGAGCGTGGCTCAGCCTGGGACTGCAGAGTCAGGCTGGGCTCCTCACTGACAGCCCCGCAGGAGCAGCGCTTTCTGCAGCCCCAGCTCTGCTCTCGCAAACCTCCCTGCAGAGCCACTGCTTGGTGCAGGGACTCGGGGCACGAGAGAGGAGGGGCATAAGCATCCAGCTCACTCCCACCCCGGCTTTCTGCCCCAGCTGCCCAGGGTTTGAGGCAGCAGGATGGATGCGTGGGGGACCTGTGAGCCCCCGCTGTGCACCAGGAGATGCACAGCCAGACCCCTGTGGCCCCACACGCACGGCTGGCGGTCAGGGGATGAAGCAAGTGATGGCAGGACACAGACCCGTTTGCTCCCCCACCCTAAATTCCCTGGTGCCTAGGGAGCTCCCCCCCGGCTCTGCCTGCCCTGCGGGCCGTGCAGCAACCTCAGCAGCCAGGAAACGCTGGCAGGAGCGAAAGGGATTGAGAAACTGCAGGCAGCAGGATGAGACATGAGCCAGCACAAGCAGGATGTGACTCGGGGGTGACGGGGACCGCCGGAGGGGTGTCACCAGGAAGCGGTAACCGGGGCCCATCCTGTACCCTCCCTTTCACGTTCCTCACGGCCAAGCCCCAGCCCAGCCTCTGCTCCCCACACAAGTCACCAAGTCCCATTTGTGTTTCACCACCTAAATTCTCTGTTAACAGCACAGCGATGCCTTCTCCCTCCATCTGCCATAGGGTTTTGCACTCCTGCCCTTCCCACGGCTGTCACCCAGGGCTGTCCCCTTCACCTGGGGCTACCCCCGCCACCCAGGGCTGTCCCTGCCACTGCAGCACCCCAGCCCTGTCACCCCATCTGCACAGCAAACCTGGTATTTCCCAAGGTTTCTTCAGCACAGGCTTGATGTCAGTGGTGGGAAGTTCGGGGCAAAGTGGGGCTCGGACACTGGCTAGACCTTGTCCTTATCCTGCCTCAAACCAGCCGTTGTAGCACTGCAGGAAAGCAGAAAGGAGAGGATAAAGGAGGAAGAAAAAAAACAGCAGAAATTATTTTTTTCCCCACTAAACACCCAAAGCAACTTTGTTTTTCCTCCATCAGAGGCTGGCTGGTCCCAAGGCGGCCCCTTCCATGGGTCCTGTCTTCACTGCAGCTCCCATCTCCTTGTTCCATCACCTGCCTGTCCCCTCTGCATGCCATAGTCCCTGATGGGGACTCCAGCACATTCTCACCTTTCATAGCTCCGGCATGGCCAAGGAAAGCCAACTCAACAGCCACCCCTGCAAAATTACCTGCTTGGGAGGGGAGATCCAACCCCAGGCACAAGCCGTGGTATCCAGTCCATTAAAAGGCAAGAAAGGATGATCAAAGAAACCCTTGGCCACCCCAAAATGCATTAAAACCATTAAAACCCAAATGGGCAAGACTGGACACAGACTCACTGGCTTTGTGGCAGTTCAGCCCAAAGCAACCCCAGCTTTGCCTCACCCTGGTAGGAGCATGGAGGAGTTGGCATTGTGCTGATCCCTTGAGCAAGGGGACCCATTTTAGTCCCTCCAGCGAGGGGTCAGGGTCTAGCCGAGGTCCCAGGGGCTCCTGGGGCCACCCCGTGCTGCTGCACACCGTGGGACAGCTTTGCAGAAAGGCTGTGTCCCCAGAGAGGGGGTGGGAGATGTCAACCCCTCTCCTTTGCAGGGGAATGGCTCACACAAGTATCGTAAAAAGCCAGTGCCCAGCAAAGGGCTTTAGCTGAGTTAGTCCCGGTCAGCCAATGAGTTCAGCTCCATTCCCAACCCTGACCTGTAGCCAGGCTCACCAGCAATCCCTCCACACAGGGAATTGTTTGCCCCAGATGAGGAAAAACTGAGCAACAAGGAGATGGATCCAGCAGCTGAATGAAATAAAGCCCAAAGCTCGATCAGCTGCTTCCTTGCCGTGGGGCAGGATGAGACAGAGATGTCAGCCTGCCATGGGGCAGAGCCCAGGACACCCAGCCTGCTGCACCCCCCTGGTAGATAAGGGCACCCCACATCCCTACAGAAAGACACATGATGGAAAAGACCCTGTTACACAAACAAATCTGACCCCGGCCCACCGAGCAACAAAATCTCAAGGGCTGCAAGATGCCGCAGCTTTCCTTTTCCATCCCTCTGCGGAGGCACATCAGCAAAGCACAAGGACACGCTCCCATGGGAGAGAATGCTCCAAAGCTTGGGAGGGAGAAATGGGAGTGCAGGAGTGCAGTTTAGCCTGAAGGCCAGGAGATCCTCCTGGGACGTATCTGTGCACCCAGGAGGATACAGGAGCAAACATCACACCAACTCCCTGAAACTTCACAGTCACTCTCTGGGTAATGCAATATCTCCGAAGTGGGGCAAAACCTTTATCCTTCATCCATGATCCAGGAGTGCCTCCACTGCCCAGAAAACATGGGGTGTCTTTCCATGGCCGGCTCCATGGAGGCTCCAGATGTGGGGCTGTAAGGGAACTTGTGCTGTGCTCTACTCACTTGGTCACTCTCATCTTTCTAAGGGTTGAGGGGGATTTTGTTTGCTTGGTTTTGGAGGAATAGTGGATCTACCAAAAATGGGAAGATTCAAAAAGGCTGAATCATCCTGAAACTTAGGGTGAAGTTGAAAAATTGTTTGGAATGAAAAAAAGAAATATCTATGTTGGGCAGGGGAGAAGGTTTTGAAGATTTCAAACCATCTTCTTCCATCTCTCGCATGATGAATTGTTGCATTTGGGCATTTTCTAACAGAATATTTTTTACTTTTTCATACCAACAAATCTATTGTTTTCCGTTCAAAAATGATCTAAAAATAAAAGAAGAGATCTAATTAAAATTAGGCAACCCCCAAACATAGCAAACTAAAAGCCTTTCAGGCCAAACCAAACATTCTGGCTTTACCTAAAACAACTATTTGCACTAGTATGGGGTATTTTGTGGGTTGTTTTTTTTTTTTTCTTTTCCATTTTGCCAGAAATCGCCTCCTAAATTCCTGTTCTGGATTGACATAGTCAAATTCCCACACCCAAGATGTTCCCTTTGGGCACCAACCAAGACTCTCCATTAATTTTTCCAAGCAACATGGTACTCCATCAATGGACCAGACCCGCTGGAGTAACTATCTTCTTCAAGAAGGACAAATATTTCAGTTGCCAGTGCTCACAGACCTCTGAGCCTGCCATGTGCATCCTTCACAGGACCCTCATCCAACCTCAAAATCCTGGTTATTGAAGGAGACTTAAGTCTCCTTAATAATAACTCAACAACCAAACAGCTACCTCTACTCTTATGTTGGAGGAACCTCCTCTGGGGAGGGGAAACAGAGTCTCTTCTCAAGAGACCTTCTTTCCAACCCTACCCAGCCCAACCCAGCCTAATCCAACCCAACTCCACTCAACCCAACCCAACTCAATTCAATCTAACCCAACTCAACCCAACCTTCTCCTTGTCACCACCCACAGCCCCAACCTCCATCCCCTGTCACCCACGCCAGGCAGCATCATGTCCAACTCCAAGCCCACCATACAGCCATGGCCAAGAAGAGGAATTTACCACCCAAAAAAGGCAGGCTTCCCTAAAGCTGCTGCAGGGGAAGTTGGGGGGGTGGGGGGTGTTAGACAAAGAGATGGCGGGCTGCATTTCCAGCCCCTGCACCAGGCTGCAGAGGCAATCGGCAGCAGGGCTGTGCCCTCCGACCCCAGGCAAAGAGGTGAAACCCCAGGAAAGTAGAAAACAAGTCGAGGCATAAATACAGCACGAATCCACAGCACTTCAGCGTGATTCGTTATTGCTGCTTAGACTGGAGTCTGTGGAGCTGGGTTTGAGAAGAGCAGAAATATCAGCAATTAAAGATATGTTGTGTCAAAAAAACTCTAAACTGATTAAAGTTGAAGGCTCCGTTTTCTTCTTTTCATCAGAGAACGGAATCAAAACCTGCCTGGAAAGACGCGCTCCCCCCGTTCCCAGCGCTCCGAAGGCAGCGCCTGCATCCGTCCTGCTGTGTCCCTGCATTTTAATTACCACCTTATTAATATTCATGAGGCTAGGCACTCAAGGGGGATTGCAGTCTGTCATTCTCTCTCTCTTTCTCTCTCCCTCTCTCCCCCCCCACCTCTCTCGGCTGAATCTGTGTTTTTTTTTTTTTTTCTTTCCTTCCCCTTCCCAACAGTTGGCGTGCTGCAGATCCGTACGCGGCCGCGTGTGCACGCAGCTCCGAAGGCGCCGAGCGTGCAAGGGGCCACGGCGCGGGGAGGGTGCCTGTGCTCACCGGTGGCTGGCGGCAGGATTCGGGGTGCGGGCAGATGGGTGGGTGCGGGATTGCTCCCGGCACCCGGAGACAAAACTTAGGGATGCTGAGTGGCGCTCCGGCTTGGAGCGAGCATGTGTGCGTGCATATGTGGCTGCCACGCACTCGGGGCGTGATGCCGGCACATGAGCAGGCGAGCGGCCCGTTGGGGAGCGGGAGGGCTGGCGCACATGCGAGCGGGCATGCACGGGGCGGGTGTGGGGGTCGGGGGGGGGCACGTCTGCATGTGCTCACGCTCGTGTGAATAAATCCCGGCAACAGCATCACTTCTGAGCGCCGGGGTGGTGGTGTAGGACCTCCACGAGAAGAGCGTGGCCGTGCAGAATGGCACTGGGTGAACACAGCTGTCCTCAGCCCTCTCCCCAGTTCACCCTGCGCCCCAGTTCACCCTGCACCCCAGTTCACCCTGCACCCCAGTTCACCCTGCACCCCACCTCACCATGCTCGGGCAAAACCAACTGCTGCTGAAGCGGGTGAGAGCACCACGGTATGGCCAAGGGGCCACGGTCGCCTTGATGGAGCCACAACCTTGGCCATCAAGGTGAAGTGGGATCTAACCGCTCTTGCATGCACCCAGCAAGGGGCTGACCCCCCCCGGCTGCGCCCCATTTGCTGGTGCAGCTTGCTGCCTGGGCAAATTGGATCCCATTTGTTTTCCCAGGTCCGCAGAGCTGGCATGCCCTGGGAGGAGAGAGGGCAGAAAGCCTGGCTTGAGGGCACACAGAGGGAATGGGCTGACGATGGAGCTGGAGATAAATCAATTTTCTCATTCCTGAGCCGAGCAATGTGGGGTTTGCCCACTCCTCACTGCCATGCAGCATTTAACCCTTTCCATATTCATTACTGAAAATAGCAGCCATGTGGGCAGCTGAGAGCTTGCCTGGCTTTGCAAACCCTGCTCCTCCCTCGCTGGAGGAAACCACAGGAGGGTCAGGCTGTCCCCTCCCAAGTCCCTGTCCCTCCCCAGGGGATGGTGCTGAGGTGATGCAGAGCCTGGCCGTGGGCGGTGGGCAGGTGCCCCCATCACTCCATTCTGCTCAAAGCCGTTGGCACAGGGGTGCATGGGGCTGCCCCATCCCAGAAACCACCAGTTGCAGGCTGGAGCCCACCTCCATTTCCCAGGCAGCCGCAGCCAGACCACAGTCCCACCTTCCTCGTCATCTTCCTCTTGGTTAACGGCACCCAAAGCATTGTTGAGAGCCCAAAGCCCCTTTGGGGATGGATCCTGCAGCCCAGAGTCCCCATCACCAACCACCTGCGAGCAACCTGTCGAGAGACACTCCAACTCAGCGACTCCCCAACGCCCCACTTGCTCAGCTCCACAAATATTTGAATTAAGGTCCCCTGGGGAGCCGCAGTCACAGAGTAACTGATTTCTCCTCCTTCATTATATCTCTGTGTAATTTACCGAGGGACGGCGGCGTGTGCCTCCGTTCGAGCGAATTCCCAGCAGGACTCCCGAGAGCTCACAAATCAGGCAAAGGCAAGGCATTAGAATATGAAAGGTGAGGCTGGTCTCCCCACCAAGACTCATCTCGCTCTTCCCCGGCTCTGCCAGCCCCGAATTGTGTTTTATTTCCGCCTGCTGCCTCTTGTGCAAGCAGGAAGGTGATGGGTTGGAGATGGTCCACAGGGCTGTGTCCCCAGCTCCAGCTCCCTTCTCAGCAAGAAGAAAGGGA